GCGGCGGCGGCCGGGGCTCTGCTCGGTACATGCATCCGATCATCTTCCTCGCCAGGATGGATTTTACTCAAGGCAATTTGTTTGGGTACATAGAAGACCTGCAGGAACTCACTGTTATAGAACGGCCGGTGCGCAGGAGCCTCAAGGTACATGCTCCGGGGTTGAATGATGCTTTCAGAGCCGTTTGGAGAGGTTTCTGCGATACCGGCTGAGCTGGCCGCTTATTTTACAGCATCAGAATATTAACGATCGTTTGCAGTTTTGCTGGGATATACAATCCTGGCTCTGTATAGCAGGGACTTAGGATTTTCGGTGTAATAATGTTAGGCTGAAAAATATAGACTCAGGCCTTTAAGTTATATGTGACTTGTTTTTGCTGTGTTTTAAATGATTTATAATGAGAGTGTCTGACATGAAGCTACTTCTGTTATGTCCCATCTTGTTCCTGTGAAAGATGTATTTGACTGAATTTGAAATACTTGGCTAGAGATTTCAAAGATGAAATTCAAATTACTCATGTAACTATCCTTGAACGTGGGGAGGAAAGGGTCATTTTAAGAAGACTAAAATGAGGAAATAGTATGGCATTATGGCATTGTAAATTCATAATTTCTGTTTCACACTTGACAGACACCAGAAGAAATAGAAAGACTGACAGTCGATGAAGAGCTCAATGATATTGAGAGGGCTGTTTATCTACTCAGGTATTTCCTAAAGTATTATTGTGAAACACTGCTAACCATCATGCTGACACACAGATTTTTGTGCTATTGCTCTTTAGTCCTTTTATTTTCTATCTTCATTTTTTTTTATTATTTCTATCTTGCCTATATTTATTTTCTAGTAGTTGTTTTATACTTTTTGCTACACTAAATATATAACAAGATAAAAACAGACAGTGTCATTTTGTTAAACTTGGATGGAATAGGATGCCTGTGTGGATGTAGAAATCTCTCTTTGCTGAGTTTCTAATATGGCCCTCACCAACAATGAGCTGTACTTCATCTTTTTTTCCCTGCAGTTGATTCCTTTAGTGTTGACATTAGGAGCAGTCATTCGGTGACTTCATATTCACCCTAGGGCATGGGCAGTTACAACAGCCTGATAACAGAGCTGTCTGAGAATACTGCATACATTAGGGCTATCTGAAAGAAGATGTAAAGATTAGTTTCCTGGTCTTAAGGAAATACTGTAGAAGATACTATTTTATTTTTTATCTATGTCCTGGTTTGTCTTCCTTCTCTTTAAAGTACCTATTTGCAGTTACTTGAATAGCTTAAGTTTGGGTCGTTTCTAACACAGATCTCCTTCAACTCTGCTGAAAAAGTCATATCTGAGAGTACAAGTGTTCTGAGGGATTTTGATTTGAATATGCATTTTTAAACAATACTTCATAATTGGAGAACCAGCTGCAGCTCCTTTCCAGTTTGCTTATTCTGCTACTTTCAGGGATCTTGTAGCATATGCCTGTCCTCAGTGTTAAAAATACAGTATTTTGATACTGATTTTTTTGTGGGGGTTTTATGCCATTTTTTCTTTATTAAGTAGTGTATACTACTTAACTACTGCAGATAGTCCTTGTAATCAAAGTAATCCTTTGGCTCTAGGGAAAGCTAGAGAAACCAGTGTGGTTGCATATCGTTTTAGGTTTTCTGTATCACAGTAATCGGCATGGTCATCTTCATTATGTTTTTTCTGTATGGCAGCAGATCTGTTTGCTCCTTTCCTAATTAAAGATCATGTTTCCAGCAATATGTTATTACTGGATCATTGCTTGGTTAAAGGGTAAAAGGTTTGACTTCCCATTTTTCATCTTACTAATTGCTTTTCCACCTGGCCTTGTACTCTTCATGACATCCTCATCTACTCTCCCTCTATCTGAACAACTGTTCTGGGGGGATAACATTGTTTTCCTTGTGATAAAGTTCTTATTTTTCTTCTTTATAATCCTTATTGCTGAAAGGTAGTTTCATCTCTGCTTGGAAAGCTTTTCTCAAGGCAATCACTTGCTGTGATTATCCAGGTATATTTATACATTAATCCAGTGGAAGCCTTTGCTGTTCAATAGTGCGTTGCCTTTTCTACGCTGAGTGAAGTATAAGCAAACAGAGCTGAAAAGCTGTCTGCAACACAGGTAGTTATCCTTTATATAATGCAAAAATGCACATTTTCCCCAATATTTTTATCAGTTATAATGTAATGCCCCTGCATTTTTTTTCCTGTTTAATAGTGTCAGCCTGGTCTTTTCATGCCTCATTTTCTCTTACAGATGCATTGTCTTCTTTTACCTCGTCTCTTATGTGGGATTGTCCTACAGTATCCCATAGAATGCGGCCTTTCCTGAGTAGCCCACTATAAAATTTGCTTTAGCAGGATTGAAATGAATTGTTATGGTGTCTGTGTTAATGTTGAGTTTGGAGAGGATGATGTTTTACTCATATCCTCAACAAAGCCTCCCCCTCTCCAACCCAAGAGCAAGAACAGAAACCAAATCTCTTGCCTTATATACTCTATACAAAGAGTATAAAAAAACTTCATGTTGTGTCACATTGTCATCTTAATAATCACTTATTTATGTAGCCCTAATCCACCAGGTAGAGATTTTTAATTTACTGAAGGGGATATCTTTAAAATAGTCTTGCTTCTACAGCACAATGGAGCTGGGTTACACAGAATGAAGATTTTATAGATAAGGCAAAACCAATAATTTGTAATTAGCTTATATGAAACTCCAAAGAGAGTCCTCATGTTGCAATGGCCTTCATTCTCTACAAAAACAAGAATAACCCCCCCTAGCCATTTTTGTATGTTTTCTCTTTCCTGCCAAAAAGCCCCAACCCATCCTACCCACCCTTAAACTTTATGATATTAGCTTGTTGAATATGCGGTAGCATTCTAGTAGCATTTACTGTTTGAGGTCTTTGGTGCCTGAATTGCTGCTTTATTTTTATTTTTCCCACCCTTTTCTTACACTTCTTATACTGTACAGATAGGGAGGTATTAATTCCTCATAGTTATTTCCTCAGTTCATTCTTTCTTTTTAATGTCTTTATATATATATATATATATATGATGAGGAGGAATTAAATGTATTTTAATTCCTCGTCATTTCATTATTGTTATATATATATATACTGAATATATAGTAAGGACATTGATATATTAATATTGATTGGGATCTTATTTCATAGGGATATGTTTTAGTCCTTCTCTTTTTTTCTCATTACCTGCTATATTTTGGTTTTACATTTTAAACTAAACTAGTTGTACTTTGATAATCCTAACGCGTGCCTATATATGTTTGAGTTTTGGGGGATTGTTTGTTTTGTTTTTGAAGGATGACTTTGCTTTCAGGCTCTGCATTTTTTGTCTTTTTTCTTTCTTCTTCTCTCCTGGCAGTACTGCTATTAAGCAAGCTATGTAATGAGCTGAACCAATGAATTGATCTAGCTGAAAACTGATAGGTTAGTTTTCAAGTAAATAGCTCCTTGATTTGGCTCACTCTGTGGACCTGTAAACAGTTGGGCAGGCAAGAGGAAGGGGCTCAGTTAGCCCTCTTGGTGGCTAGAGTCACTTTAATATGACATAAGCATGAATGGGCTGCAGCCTTAGATCATTGTTGCTCAGAGTAATCAGTTTTAATTAAATCAGCAATTAGACTGAGCAAGTTCTGATTTAATAAGAACGTTGTAGCAAATTGGGCTATTGTTTGTTCTAATCTCAATTAACCTTGACTGTCTTTGTGGAATTGGACTCCCTTAGACCAGGTTGTCAGGGATGTTTATAAACTTCCTGTTGGAATCAAATGGATTTAGGTGCTTAAGGAGAGTGAGATATCTAAGCATTTAGGATCCAAGTTTTAGCACTTAAGCCTGAGTACTTGGCCAGTTCTGGAGGGCCCCCTGGAGTGACGGGAGAGATGTAATCTGCATGTTTTGCATGCTGCTGCCTCTTGAGCAGAAACACGAGATGTGTCTCTTTCATGTTGGTGTAATTCTGATGACTTAGCTGAAAGCTGTTTCATCAGCAGATGGAGATGAGCTGCCAGACCTTGCACCCAGCAGCTGAGGTCTCTGCGTCCCGCCAGCTCTTCTGGGAAGTGAGACCTCTGGCAAGAGAGCAGCAATAAGCAGCTCAGGGACAATAAGTTTTAATCTTGCTGTGAACTTCTGCCAGTGGTTTTAGTTTCCATCTTTGCTGATGTCTAGGTGATGTTGTAACTCATTCTTTTCTATCTTACTGTAACTACCATTTTATGGCATAAAGTCAATATGAAAATAAGCATTATTTGTCTGGTGTGAATCTGGCTTGGATGTAGGGATGTTTACTTTCAGTTATATGGTCTGTGGTCTTCTGAAGACTTTTTTGATAGGTTACCCCAGTGGCTAAACCCCAGTTTAGCATGTTGTTTTTTTTGTATTGAGCCATTCCTGTTTCTTTGTGCTTGCTTAACACTTAAGCTTCCAGGCCTTGACTGTTATATTCAAAATAGCAGAGTAATAATGAATTATTAAGGTGAAAGATTGAATTATTCACCATTGATGGGAGCATACTGTACTTTTTGTTTGGAATGATCCTGTCTTTCAGTGTAGATAACACAACTCCCCTCCAAAGCATTTAGCATAGTTTTGAAGATATGTTTGCTATTCTAGGTAAACTTTGAGGAATTTAATGTCTAGAAACTTTAGCATGTTTGCATAAAGATGATCAAAACTGGCTTAATAAAATACAACAAAATCAAACAAAAGTATTCTCAAATTTTAATCATCTTTTTATACAAATAAAATATGTTCAGCTGCAAGTTTCAAAACCACAATCAAGATGTGATTTTTTTTTTTTAAATTTTATTTTTCTTTAAGTTCCTTTTTTCCTGCACGTTAAGAACCAACTATAAATGTTATACAGAGCAGAGATTAAGATAGTGCTCTAGGAAACGTAGAAAACTTGTAGGAAAGGCACCTTTCTGTCTTCCCACTTCTCTCAGGCCACACTTTCATCAGTGCATTGAGATGGCAGTGCCAGTCCTTTCCCCAGCTGCTCGTTCTAGGCTCTGTGCTACATTCTCCCTTACGCCTGCACAAGCAGATTGGATACTTATCTGAGCCAAACCTGAACCACGAAAATAATGGTTGGTTTTAAATCATATCAGTTCTTTGCTTCAGTACCTCCTGCAGCTGCGAAATATTTGTGCCAGCCCAAGAGAAGTGGACAGTGGCCTGGGAACAGGAATGAGTGAAATGACTTATTGAGCCTTTGCACTAGATTTGTCTAGTTCGTGGTGCAAATGGAGCTAATGAGTCATGTTACAGTTTCACAATCGGGTAAAAATGGTTGAAGCTCTCACTCTGTCAAAGATAGTAGCTCTTTTCTCCTATACCTGACTCCATATTTCTGCTACATTTTGCATGCCATCACTCATACCATCGCAGTCCTGTAGTCTCAGCCACATCGAGGAATTGATTTGAGCTCTAATTGATTTTAATTTTTTTCAAGTCCATAACTTCCAACAAAATGTGCAACTGCTCCTGTTAGGATAAGTGCAGTGCTTGAGGGGGAGAGGAAGCTGCCGTTGGAGGTGGGGGGAGGCCGTCTTTCCAGGAATTGCACAACAGATTTAGATCCGGGTAGACTGATCTCGAATCTGTATTTGGAGTCTTTGAAACCACATTCTTAGTTAAATGATTGGAGAGTATAGGGTATTAAT